AGAACGTAATGATCTTTGATTGTATCTCTATTATGATGTCATGTAGGGAACTTTTGAAGAATGCTTTGGGTTGTCGTATGATGTCATCCAATCCAATAACTTAAGGAAAATCTGAGGGTTAATTAGTGATGTCGCGATTAATCTGGGGTGTTGAGGTTCATGGTTTATCAAAAAGCAACTGGAAATCAATTTGTATGCAAGTGTGTCATGTGTGGAGAAGGACCCCCTAGCTAGCTAATCACCCATCCATATTCCCCAAATTCGTTCAAAACTTTGTCTAGTTTAGTTTCTGTTTTGTTTTAGTTCAAATTCGTCAAAACCAAAACCCCCCCTTTGTTTTAAGTGTCAATTAGGTTAGAATTTGAGCTATTGTGTGTTTTTAAGTGTTTTGAGTCAAAACTAATTCAATTTTCGTCCAAAGTAAGTCCTAGAGTCTAGTTTGAGTCTTTTTGATTGTTTTGGGTTGTTTTGAGTCTTTTAAGTTTGTTTGAGTCTTTTTGATTGTTTTGGGTTGTTTTGAGTCTTTTAAGTTTGTTTTGAGTCATATAAGTTTAGTTAAGAGTCTTTTGAGTTTGGTTAAGTGTTTTGAAGCATATTTAAGTATCTTTGAGTCAGTTTTCATTAGATTAGCAATCCCTCCCGATCCCCGGCCTAGAACAATCCCTACTTATATCTATACTACAATTGTCAAAAAGAGGGTTTAATTTGTGTGCTATTATATATCACATCAAATTTTTGGTGCCGTTGCCGGGGATTAGCAACTTTGCTAATCCCCCATTGTTGCCCTTTGTTTCTGTTTATATATTTTAGTTTTAGTTTTTGATTTGTGTTTTGTTTTGTTTTGTTGATTTTAGGTACTAGAGAAGCAAGACATGGCACTTGCTAATATTCAAGCTCAAATAACGAATCTTACTTCTCTTTTGTCACAAATGTTATGCGAGATTTATACGCACACAAATTAAACCCTCTTTTTGACAATTGTAGTATAGATATAAGTAGGGATCGTTCTTAACCGGGGATTAGGAGGTGTAGACATCAAAATTTCGGTGAAATGAATGTTGACCAATAATTAAAATTTCAACGCTCACGTATCACATAAATTTTACATGTAGCGTGTGACTCAACGAAAAATCGAAATAAATTGGAAAAGTCATCAAATAGGACACGTGTCAATACCTGGCAGAAATGATTTATTTCATCTGATTATTTAAATCCAAAAATCAAGTTTTGGAATTCTATAAATAGGAGGCCAAGGCATTCATTTTGGGGAGGAGAAGGAAGGAAGGAAGAAAGGAAGGGAAATTGATATCACACCAAAACCTTCAAGCTTCGGAACTCTAAAGCTCTCAAGCAAATCCCGAAGGATCAAGAAAGCACTCTTCGTTCTTCGTCAAATCAACCTTCAAGATCAAGCCCCGACGGCCCTTGAAGAACTTCCATCAACCTTCAAGATCCAGCCCCGACGGCCCTTGAGGAAAGTATTCATCGTTCATCATCCGTTCAATTCAAGATCAAGCCCCGACGGCCCTTGAAGAACTTCCATCAACCTTCAAGATCAAGCCCCGACGGCCCTTGAAGAACTTCCATCAACCTTCAAGATCAAGCCCCGACGGCCCTTGAGGAAAGTGTTCATCGTTCATCATCCGTTCAATTCAAGATCAAGCCCCGACGGCCCTTGAAGAACTTCCATCAACCTTCAAGATCAAGCCCCGACGGCCCTTGAGGAAAGTGTTCATCGTTCATCATCCGTTCAATTCAAGATCAAGCCCAAAAGCCCTTGAAGATCCGCTCATCCACCAACCTTCAAGATCAAGCCCAAAAGCCCTTGAAGATCCGCTCATCCATCAACCTTCAAGATCAAGCCCCAACGGCCCTTGAAGAACTCCCACCAACTCAAGATCAAGCCCCGACGGCCCCTTGAAGAAAGTGTTCATCATTCATCATCCGTTCATCCTAAGATCAAGCCCCAACGGCCCTTTGGATCAACAACCTCAACAAACTCATACACCCATTCTTCAAGATCAAGCCCAACGCCCCTTGAAGATTCATTCATCAACTGTTCATCCTCAGATCAAGCCCCCGACGGCCCTTTGGATCAGCAACTCATCCACAAACCTACACCCTACGAAGATAGAATCAGAGGACCAAATTACAAGGAGATTGTAACCCCAAAATCATTAATACAAAAAATATATTTTGTACACGTATTCTTGTCGCTTGTTTCAGGAAATATTCGTGTTTACAAATTTGGCACGCCCAGTGGGACTTATCTCTACCTCTCATCTCTATCCTCAAATCATCAAAAAACGCAAATGGCATCAAGAAAGGATCAAGCTGTTCCTGCAGTCAAAGCGAAGAACAAGAACATTATCGCCGCAACTGGTGATATTTCGGGCATCACAACCCGAAGTGAAGCAAGAGCTCTTTTTGCCGCGGCTTCTGCCCCTGCATTAACTCTGTCAAAGGAACAAGAGCACCTGAGGCACGAGCCTGTGATCACCCTAGCCTCGCTAAGGCACCCTAGCCTCGCTAAGGGCATCAAGAGGGGAAAGCCTGAGGAAATACTCAGAGTCCCTACCCTCTGACGCTGATTCGAGCGGCAGTACAACCATGCAAGTCATGACCACTGGAGCAACTTCAATCGAGGAGCAACTAGCTCAGATGAATGAAGCAATCACAAAGCTCACACGGACTGCAGAGGAGAAAAACTTGCAAACCGCCGGACTCATCAACCGTCTGGAGGCACAGCATGGCGTCAAAATGAAACCAAGCTCTCTTCCAACTAAGAAGACCGAAGAAGGCTTTAACCCAAATGCCTACGAACCCATGTCAAAGGCTAGGCATGACTTTGCTTCCTCTTCAAATCTTGGAAAGAAGGTTTCAAACACCGTCAATGACAAAGAACGTAACCTCACCAAAACTCAAAAGAAGTTGAAGGAGCATGGTTACGGAGTTGACAACAACAAAGCCGGACTTGGCTTCACACCAAATGCACCCGTGAAGATTTCAAGCAAAGTGAAGAAAGCTAGCGCTCAACACATCAGCGTGAGCATTGAACAAGACCAAAAAGAGCCTAAACCCACCCCTCGACCGTCGGTCTTCGATAGGATGAGCCATTCAAGCTCCAGAATTTCAGCGCTTAATCGCATTGGTAGTCAAGGCCGAACCTCCGTCTTCAAGAGGCTTAGCGTGCCAACATCCCAAAGCTCTGTTTTTGAAAGGTTGTTAAAGCCTAAGAAACAAAGCAACACAGCTATCTCTCCTCTGCGACCATCAGCTTCGGAAAGATTTGAAGATAATGAGAAGCCTTTTGGAAAGAGGAAGACAACACCAAAGGAAGAAAAGTTCGATGGGTTAGCAGAAAAAGGCGACGTTCAAAGCTTGATTCCTTCAAGGATGAAGCGCCAAGCAATCCTAGAGGTCGACACAAAAGGACCACTGAAGGTAAGGAGGCGCATCGTCGTCCACACTGGCAAATCTTCATGCCAACAAACCCAAGAGGACGGCACTGAAGATGAAATCCCTAAGAAAGATGTCACTTCTGGCTCTTTCGACTCAAAGTCTTCACCTCGACTGTTGGGGGCATGCTCCAAGTCAAGTGAAATTGAAGGATGGACTCATGTCGCTTCGAAGAAACTGCACGAGAAACATATGTCTTCTCCACAAGTGCACCAATCAGAAAGGGGGGAAAGCAGCTTTCGCCAACCTCCAAAGCAATGTGAAAATGTTGAAGATAAGAAAATTTCAACACAAAGATCGTTCATGCGGGATCTTTTCTTCCTCGAAGACTTATTCAATTTCTCGATCAAGACTCCTTGCTATGAAGATTGTGAGGAATGCCTTTCGAAGATCGCTGCGAAGAAATTGGACAAGCAGCAACCATCTTGTCCACAAGTTTATCAGTCGAAAAGGGGGCAAAACAGCTCTTGTCAACCTCCAGAACAATGTGAAAGTGTTGGAGATAATGAAATTTCGACACAAAGATCGTCCATCCCCATCACAATGTGCGACCTCTTCCCAGAAGACTTCTTCAATTACTCGGTCAAGGCTCCTTCCTATGAAGATTGCGAGGAACGCCTCTCCCAGATCGCTTGACAAATCCACAACAACAACCAAAGCTCCTCGTTCGCACGAGCCTAAAAGGCGACAACCAAAGCTCCTTGTCCGCACGAGCATAAAAGGCGACAACAAAACGCTCCTTGCCTGCATGAGCTGAAAATGCAAACGGCACCAAGACGCTCCTGGCCCGCAAGAGCATAAACTGTGTACGGCAAAATCATCATCAAAATCATCATCAAAATCATCACCCATTTGAACTACGTTATGACTTGATCTCTTCTTTGGGAGAGTACGTAGGCAACTTGAAACTTCAAAACTTCAAGTACAGTCACATCAAAATAAATAAATAAATGTTTCATTAAAGAAAGTCAATTTTATTACAATTTCTTTATTATTAAAAAAAAAAAATTATTATTACAGTTTCTTCTTCTTTATTAAAAAAAAAAAAAAAAAAAACGTTTGAACTACGTTTCGACTTGATCTCTTCGTTGGAAGGATACGTAGGTAGCTCGAACGTTTAATTTTGAGTTCAGTCACATCAAAATGAGGTTGTAGTAAAAGTGACTAATGAAAGTCAATATTATTACGTTCTTTGTACAAAAAATTACATGTTGTTGGTTTCAAAAAATAAAAATAAAAAAATAAAATAAAATAAAAAAATAAAAAAAAAATAAAATAAAATAAAAAAATAAAAAAATAAAAAAAAATATATATATATATATATACATATATATATAAATTCCTTCTCGGCCCAAATAACATCAAAGTGGTGTGATTAAAGTATTGAGGTGAAGAGGGAGGAGTAAACGCAAAGTCACCCCTAATTTCTCAAGCCACTTATTGCCACGGGGTCCAATCCAGCACCATCATCATCGTCAACATCTATCTAATCAGATGACATGGTAAAGTGGAGAACCCTCCCCCCCTGAAAACAGGATGACCGTCTATTTCTCCAGATGGTTTTCCGATCTCGATTGGCGCCGGCTGCTCTTACTCCTTCCACCTCGCCTGACCTCACCAAGGTCACCATCATCAAATTCCTCTGCAACACCAACATCGCCTCCAGCCCCACCCACGTTGGCTGGCGCTGCAAATCGGACGGCGACGGCATCTCCCTCGTCGGCGCTCGCAAAATCTGCCTCGACCGCATCAGGAAACTCGCTGACAACTGCACCGGTCTTCAAGGGTTCTTGGTCTTCAATGCCGTCGGTGGCGGTACCGGATCGGGTCTCGGATCATTGCTTCTGGAGCGGCTTTCGGTTGACTACGGAAAGAAATCCAAGCTGGGATTCACTGTGTACCCTTCTCCTCAGGTTTCTACATCTGTTGTGGAGCCTTACAACAGTGTTCTCTCCACCCATTCTCTGCTGGAGCACACCGACGTGTCTGTGTTGCTCGACAATGAGGCCATCTACGACATCTGCCGCAGGTCCCTCGACATCGAGCGTCCTACCTACACCAATCTGAATCGCCTAGTCTCTCAGGTCATTTCTTCGTTGACAGCGTCGTTGAGGTTCGACGGAGCTCTGAATGTGGATGTGACCGAGTTCCAGACTAACTTGGTTCCATACCCCAGGATCCATTTTATGCTTTCCTCGTATGCTCCGGTGATCTCTGCTGAGAAGGCGTACCACGAGCAGCTCTCGGTGGCTGAGATCACCAACAGTGCATTTGAGCCTGCTTCCATGATGGCCAAGTGTGATCCCCGCCATGGCAAGTACATGGCCTGCTGCTTGATGTACCATGGTGATGTCGTTCCCAAGGATGTGAATGCCGCTATGGCCACCATCAAGACCAAGAGAACAATCCAGTTTGTGGATTGGTGCCCTACTGGGTTCAAGTGCGGTATCAATTACCAGGACATCAACTGTTGAGACAGGTTTCTGATAGTCGGATATTGGGATTAAAATCTCCAAATAACAACTCAATCTCTGAAGGAAGGCAATCATTTGTACTCTCCACTTGCAGCAATGAATTGGCAACTGGATCTCTAGGCGGGTCTTCTGATGGCTGGTCAATGCGTACCTTTTCTAAGCTCGTAGCGTATTCTCAAAGTGAAAGATTGTCTTTTGACAGTGAGCACTTTGGTTCTATCCATGGAAACCTAAGTGGATCAAGCAGCAGGTTCTCGTGTTCTCCTTCCATAGATTTGCAGTCTTGTGGTGTCTACTCAAAGCTCTTAACAGAGAGATCTTCATGGAGCGGCCAGAAAATTATTGCTGGCAGCGACACTTCAGTGGTTTCTGTGTTGGTATGTGGACATGTTTACCATGCTGAGTGCTTGGAGACTATGACCTTGGAGGTTGATAGGTATGACCCGGTTTGCCCCAATCAGCATGGCCGCCGCTGCAAGTCCAACACCACCCTGTGAATTTCCAATCAAATCCAAGAGCTCCGCTCCCTTTTTCTGCAACAAAAGAACATGAAGTCAGTAAGAGAGGTTAAGAGAAAGTGACGGAACACGACAAGGCACTTCTTCCTCTCCATCCATGCAGCTCCTCGCCTGCAAGTCCCTCAGCTTCACTCTGGCCACCGTGGTCAAAATCAGCGAAAAACTTCAGTGACCGTTGTCAAACGACTAGCCGATCATGAAGCTCGACGCTTTGCTCTGCCTCAAGCTCTGGCTGTTTCTGCACCTCCACCATGGCTGCTGCCTTTGAATGTGATCAACAAAAACAAAGTTTGTCAACTCACATCCAAAGATCTCATCCGTCTGCTTGCCTCTGCTGCTGCCTTTGAATGTGATTGACAAAATCAAAGTTTGTCAACTCACACCCAAAGATCTCCTCCGTCTTCTCTCGGACTCGGCCTGGGTTTTCACCCACGAACTCAGCCTTGCAGATGGCCATATAAAGAAAAAAAAAAGAAAAAAAAAAAAAAAAAAAAAAAAAAAAAGTAGCAATGATGATGCTGGCAAGCATCTTTCAAAAGAATAATAAAAAAAAATATAGCAATAATGATGCTTCTGGAACCATGTGAAAAAAAAAAAGAAGAAGAAAAAAATATATATATAAAAGAAAAAAAAAACGATGGTGATGCTTCTGGCACCATCTGAAATATATATATATAAATGAATGGTGGATCAGCGCCACCGAAAGCAAAGAAAAGAATAAAAAAATGGTGATGAACGGTGATGTATATGTTTTATCTGTATTTAGCACAATACACTAAATAAAACGAAGCATGTTCATTGATTTTCGAGAAATTACAAGTGCGAAAAAAAAAAAAAAAAAAAAAAAAAAAATGTATCTAACAAAGAAAGAGAAAGATGGAGCTTTTACAAAGGCTGTTCACGTGAAGCCCCACTACTTGGCCAAACTCCAGGAGCGGGAGGCACCGAAGATAGATCATTCGAGGCCCCAATACTTGGTGGAACGCTTGATGACGCTGGAAAAATGTGCCTCTGGAAGAAAGACGCAAGCCTTTGACGGTCACTTTGAATGCGACCTTGAGATTCTTGCATCTCATCAAGCTTCCTCTTCATGCCCGACGAATAGTTATTTGCAAGCACATGCAAACTTCTATTCTCGTACTTAAGCTGTTTAATCTCCTGCTTAAGATCTTCCACCTCTGCCATCAATGATTCCACCTGACGGGACCGAGCAAGCAGGCGTTGGCCCATGTTGGACACAGAGCCCGCACACTGAACACTAAGAGCGAGGGACTCTTGAACGGCCAACTCATCGGACCGTCCTGACAGCAGCCTACTATCTTTTGGAGTAAGGAGGTTCCTAGCTACTATTGTAGCTGTTGTGGCGTCCTGCATCACGGAGTCTTCACCTGTAAGAGGACCGTTAGAAGATAAGAAAGAAGGGCACCATACATTACCTTGAAGCGGCGCAACCGGATCACTGCTGAGACTCAATTCTAAGCTAAGGTTCGATGGGTTAGCCATTTTTCAAAGGTGTTAAAAGAGATGGGTGGATGGAGTTAAAACTCAAAAGGCCGGAGATGATTTTCAGGAATGAGCAACCTTCAAAGTGTGCATGTTAGAGGTGATCAATACCTCTATAAAAAGGAAGAAGCGCTTGCTCAGAAATCAAAGAGGCGTTGGTTCAGAAATCGAAGGGCCGCTTATTCAAAAGTGAAGAGACATCGCTCTGCAAATCTCAAAAGCTGGATTTTCCGGCGTAAGTTAGGCGACGCTTTCTCGGCTTTCCAGAAAACGCGTTCAACTTTGTCAAAAGATCTCCGACAAAGTTGAAAACACGTGGAGGCTGGCGACGCTTTCGCGGCTTTTCAGAGCACGGGTGCCACTTTGTCAAAAGATCACGTGGAGGTCATCATCGCAGCTACACATCTTTAGTTGACAAGCGCAAAGTTCGGCGACGCTTTCTCTGCTTTTCAGAAAACGCGTGCCACTTTGTCAAAAGAGACGCTCGTTCAGAAATCGAAGAGGCGTCGTTCAGAAATCAAAGAGGCGTATTCAAAGATCGAAGAGTCGTCACTATTTCAAAAAGCCGAATTTGCGGGATCAAAACGTTTGTCGACAAGGGTAAAAGAACAGTACCGCCGCTTGCTATTGGGAAATCCCTATATATGTCGACCTTCATCTTTTATGGCAAGGCAAACCTGCAAACAAGAAAAAAAAATGCCCAACTCTTCCTCACCTCCGAGAGTACACTCCCAGCAAAGCATCTCAAAATGCTCAGTTTTCTTCCTCTCCTGGAATACCCTTGCAAACAAATGACACCAAGGCAAAAGTATCTCATATCATCAAGGGCGAAAGCAAAGGTATCTCATATCATGCTTTTCCCCTATCTTTTCCTTTGCCCTTGTTCTCACCTGCCAGGACAAGGACAGAGAAAGCAATATGTCGGAACCTCCACTCAAACTTGCGCTGCCACCAAGAAGTGATGGTCCATTCAAATGCAAGGTTTGCATTCAACTCCTGCATCAGGAACAAATAGTACAAGAGAAGATGCTAAACCTGCATAAGGAAATACCACTTCTGCAAAGGGGAGCAAGTAAGGCAAGTGAAAATGATGCATTGAAGCATGTGGAGACAAGCTACGACTGCATATGCTGAGCTATCCTCTAACCCTCTTCAATACGAATTGGAAAGATTGAACAAAGAAACAGAAAAAAAAGGAGTAAGCTCAGACCTTCGGGGAAGACCAAAAGAATCCTGCTGCCCAGTTCAAGAGTAGCACAAAGGAAAATCAACGATAGGGGGAGACCAAAAGAATCCTCCAGCCCAGTTCAAGATCAAGCCTCGATGGCCCTTGAAGAAATCACAAGTCCGATTCAAAATCAAGTGTTCACCACCCTTGAATCAAATTCAACTCCAGATAAAAGGAGTAAGTTCAGACCTTCGGAGGAGACCAAAAGAATCCTCCAGCCCAGTTCAAGATCAAGCCTCGATGGCCCTTGAAGAAATCACAAGTCCGATTCAAAATCAAGTGTTCACCACCCTTGAATCAAATTCAACTCCAGATAAAAGGAGTAAGTTCAGACCTTCGGAGGAGACCAAAAGAATCCTCCAGCCCAGTTCAAGATTTAGCCTGCGGAAAATCAACGATTGGAGGAAACCAGAAAATCTTCCAGTCGAACTCAAGATCAAGCCTCGATGGCCCTTGAAGAAATTTCCAGCCCAATTCAAGATCAAGCCTCGACGGCCCTTGGGTTGACATCTACATTAAGGGACTTCAAAACGCATCTTCTACACGTGACAAGCACATGTCTACGACGCGCCTTGAAGTGGGGGCATTTGTAGACATCAAAATTTCGGTGAAATGAATGTTGACCAATAATTAAAATTTCAACGCTCACGTATCACATAAATTTTACATGTAGCGTGTGACTCAACGAAAAATCGAAATAAATTGGAAAAGTCATCAAATAGGACACGTGTCAATACCTGGCAGAAATGATTTATTTCATCTGATTATTTAAATCCAAAAATCAAGTTTTGGAATTCTATAAATAGGAGGCCAAGGCATTCATTTTGGGGAGGAGAAGGAAGGAAGGAAGAAAGGAAGGGAAATTGATATCACACCAAAACCTTCAAGCTTCGGAACTCTAAAGCTCTCAAGCAAATCCCGAAGGATCAAGAAAGCACTCTTCGTTCTTCGTCAAATCAACCTTCAAGATCAAGCCCCGACGGCCCTTGAAGAACTTCCATCAACCTTCAAGATCCAGCCCCGACGGCCCTTGAGGAAAGTATTCATCGTTCATCATCCGTTCAATTCAAGATCAAGCCCCGACGGCCCTTGAGGAAAGTGTTCATCGTTCATCATCCGTTCAATTCAAGATCAAGCCCCGACGGCCCTTGAAGAACTTCCATCAACCTTCAAGATCAAGCCCCGACGGCCCTTGAGGAAAGTGTTCATCGTTCATCATCCGTTCAATTCAAGATCAAGCCCCGACGGCCCTTGAAGAACTTCCATCAACCTTCAAGATCAAGCCCCGACGGCCCTTGAGGAAAGTGTTCATCGTTCATCATCCGTTCAATTCAAGATCAAGCCCAAAAGCCCTTGAAGATCCGCTCATCCACCAACCTTCAAGATCAAGCCCAAAAGCCCTTGAAGATCCGCTCATCCATCAACCTTCAAGATCAAGCCCCAACGGCCCTTGAAGAACTCCCACCAACTCAAGATCAAGCCCCGACGGCCCCTTGAAGAAAGTGTTCATCATTCATCATCCGTTCATCCTAAGATCAAGCCCCAACGGCCCTTTGGATCAACAACCTCAACAAACTCATACACCCATTCTTCAAGATCAAGCCCAACGCCCCTTGAAGATTCATTCATCAACTGTTCATCCTCAGATCAAGCCCCCGACGGCCCTTTGGATCAGCAACTCATCCACAAACCTACACCCTACGAAGATAGAATCAGAGGACCAAATTACAAGGAGATTGTAACCCCAAAATCATTAATACAAAAAA